CACAACAGATGACTTCTTCTTCCTATTCCTCTTGGACTTTTTCTTGGATTCGACCGGCGTATCTACGTCCATCGTAGAGCCTCCTCCGTTGGGCTTTTGGCAGGTGGGGCAGCAACCCTCAGGCGGTKCCCGATCGGTGGTCTTRCCATCATCAGCTGCCTTGTCATTAACGCCTGCGGAGGTGGTGGCAGTTGGGGCCAACGGACTGGTGGGTCTGCTGGTCTGAGTGCCGGCAACCATGACGGCAGTTGCTTCTTTGCACAACAGAATCAAACATCCTGTGATCGATGGAGACAAGGATGTCGTGCATCTGCTGCGCCTCCTCAACCTAACCTAACCTAACCTTTTTTTTTTATTTTTTTGCATGAATCGGCAATACACTCACCACCCGGAAACGYCGTTAAGCAATGCTTCAGGTGGTGAATCGCCATCGTTTATTTAAAAACAATTATACAACTTTTTGAGGAGCAGAAGGGACAATCCCCCAACTGCAGCCCCTTACACACGCTGTTACATAGTARTGGGGCGTGAAAAGGACAATCCCCCTTCCACGGCCCCAAAAGTTAAAACAAAATATGTAACATAAATATAAATATAAATAAGGTGCGACACCGCAAGAACGGCCCCGCAGCCCAATCCAGAGGCCAGACCACCGGCGGCGCGGCGCTGCCGCAACCCCACTCCGGCCGCGATCACGTCACCTCCGACGCCTAGACGGAGCCACACCATACCGGAACTGCCTGTCTCCTGCCTCCTCCTTGGACGACATCACATCACTCGCGAAGCGCGCAACCGCCTCCCAGTTAGCCGGACTTTCCAGCATCTTGGGCACCAGWCCGCCCGGGTCGAATGGCCCTATCACGCCGATCAGACGCTCACGCTCACCCCTGAACGCCTCGCAGCGAACTAGGGTGTGCTTAGCGTCGTCGACTTCCTCACCGTAGCCGTCGGGTGGACCGCAATGGGAACACCCTTCRGACGGTGCACGGTTGATCTTCCAGAGAAACCGGTTGAAGCAACCATGCCCCGTCATCAGCTGGGTGAGGTGAAAGGACAACTCCCCGTGCCTCCTGGTAGCCCAACGACAAACGACAAAGCAGGTCCGGGGGGACCAGGGTCCGGGTCCACTCGCGTCCGCTATCCGCAGGTGGCACCGACTCCCGCATCCCCCGGGCCCACTTTGCCATCGAACGAGCCCTCAGTGACTGGGAGTCGTCCGCCCGCACTGTCGCCGCTGGTTGGTCCGACCGAGGGGGCCCCCCGTCACGTGTTCCCGCAAGCCGCCTCTCCCTTCTGGCCTCGAACGACGCGAACCGTTCTTTGGCCATCAGGACGACGGGGATGGTGCGCGCGACGAGCGTCGCGSCGTCGTAGGACACAGTACGGTACGCACCCACGCTAGCGATGGCGGCCAGACGCTGCACCGACGCCAACACCTTGGGGCCGGTCCGGCTGGGAGCCAGGTCGGCGCCCCACGTCGGAGCGCCGTACAACATTACTGAGTGTACGACGCCCAACAGCAGGCGCCTCCTGCTCTCGCGGGGGCCACCAATGTTTGGCATCAGGCCGCGCAGAACCGCCATGACGCGTCTGGCCTTGTCGGCCGCGGCGCGATAGTGCGCACCGTACCAAGTCCCCTTCGCTTCGTGCACGATTTCCAAGTACTTGAGAGTCGTGCACAGCTGGACGGCCTGATCCCCGATACGCAGCCCGAGGTCGGCCGGGCCATACTGGGCCTTGAAGACCACGGCTTMCRTCTTGTCGACKGCCAGCTGAAGCCCCAATTCCCCGATGTGCCCGGCGACCAAGGCCAGAGCCTCGTTCGCGCAGTCCTGCAGGGTCGAAAGCGTATTCCCCTCCGACACGACTAGCGTGTCGTCYGCGTACCCGATGATGGTAGTACCAACGGGCAGCGGCAAGCGGAACACGGTGTCGAACGCGACGTTCCACAAAAGCGGTCCTAGCACGGAGCCCTGCGGGACTCCGCACGTGACTGCAACCGTCACCGGATCGCCCCCATGGTCGTCGCACACGTGCAGGACGCGGTCGCGGAGGTACGAATCGAGGATCCGTCGGACGTACGCCGGGAAACCCATACGTACCAACGCCGCACGCACCACCCCCCAACCGACGGAGTTGAAAGCGTTCCGGATGTCCAGACTCACGGCGACAGCGTAACGGCGCGCGTTCACCGCGGAGTTCAACCGCCGGCGAAGCAGCCGCAACGCGTCGTCCGTGCACAGGCCGCCGCGGAAACCGAACTGCCATTCAGAAAGTCCGACCCCGGT